ATGGCCTCCAACCTACTGGCGCTGGCCTCCAACCTAGAAGTGATGGCCTCCAACCTACTAGCAATGCCTCCAACCTACTGGCGCTGGCTCCTCAGTCCCACGTTGCCATGCCAATCGTTGTCGACGAGGAGGTGGTTCCTGATCGAGCGAAGTTATGCGAACACGTCTGAAATCAATGCAAAAACATTGTGTTTTGTGTTTTTGTAAAAGCTTATACACAATGGAACAGAATGGAACAGGGGCTTCGTGCATGTGTTTCATGATCCAGAAAATGCTTTCTTGCGGGATCGAAGGGGAATTGTTGGCTCTCCTTGCGAGATATGTTGGGAAAGTGCACCTATCTTGGCGATGACACCAAGTGTTGCCCCTATTTGATGTTTTCTGCAAACTTCTTGTGACTTCCCCACCACCTATTCCCAACTCCATCCGACTCCTGCGCATGGGGTGTCAACTTGGTTCGATAGTGGTACTGCTTGGGCGATGGCCTTGGTTGGAGGTCGGAATGTGTGTGGTGTTTGCTGGATCTGTATTAACGGTTGAACAGGAAATATCACGTTTTACGGTTTTGCAGAAATGCCATCAACAGGAAATCATGATCTTCACGTATGCAGCGCGGATTCTTATCGTCCAGTAATGGGATGGTTTTGAAGATTGCACGTTAGAAAACAAAAGTGAACATTTATATAGTTGCTCAAAAAGGTGCCGGGAATCCGTTCAATCTTTTTCAGGGATATGGTTGGAGGCCATCGCTATTAGATGCTATTAGGTTGAAGGCCATCCCTAGTAGCCATCGCTAGTAGGTTGGAGGCCATTGCTAGTAGGTTGGAGGCAATTGCTATTAGGTGCCAGGAATCCTTTCAACCTTTTTCAGGTACATGTTGCCAATTCGCAGATCATTCGATACAAATCTGCATAGTGGTGTAACTTCCAGCCATTGCGGTGATACTACTCCATGTCATCGAAACTGCAATGATCAGGAATTGGGAACAGCATGAAAATCGTAAATTGGTTGCAGAAAGATTTAATTAGAGTCCAGGGCCAGGGAGGTGTCGTGCTAGCTTCCTGTGCCGAAACACCAAAAACAAGCGCACCCAAACGCCAACTTCAACTTCCGTTGCCTCCATTTTCCCCTTTTTCCAGCAGCCCAATTCCCGCTGGCCCTTAAAAGACTCAAAGTCCACACATCGCTCGGGATCCTAGTGCATGTTAAAGGGCTATGGACACAAACAAAATAGTCCGCTTTGTCGCAAAAGGACAGGAATGATTCACCATTTCAGCAAGTGCGGAAAGATTTACATCGTGGAACATGAAGCGAAATCGTTTCTGAGGTCTTTCAAATCCGGGTTTTTGCCCACTTGCTCCTAGCTTCTTGTTACAGGTGAAACGATTCCCAAGGAATCGTTCTAGCTACTACTAGTAGCTTCTTGTTACTAGTAGCGATGGCCTCCAACCTATTTGCGATGGCCTCCACCTAATAGCGTCCTTGCTTGTGTCATTTGTTGAACCATTGTAGATTACCTGATCCAAATATGGGGTATTAAGTGCATGGGTTGCTACGTGTGGTTCACTCAGAGACACTGGCTACACAACTGACTCGGGATCTTTGTCGTTTCACTGGCGGCCACAGGATCCCAAAACGTGCACGGTCGAGCTGGATGGCTTGAAATACATTGAAACACGAATCCAGCGCAGCAGTTGCACTGTAGAAGTATGAGAGCACAAACTCAACTTCTCATCTACTTGTCAAGTAAACCGGGCATTTTAAGACCAATCTGCAAAAATCTGCAAACCGTTACAACTGTTGCTAGAACAGAATCTGAATATAGATGCAAATACATGGGTCCCCATCTGCTTGGTTCTCGAGGACGATGGGCCAATGGCACCTTCACAGCGAACTACCGTTGACTTGCGTGGTCGTTGAAGTTGGCGCTGCTCTCATGAAAACCTATCCGGAAAATTATGTGAGTTATCTCGCATCTTGCGCGCTTGCGCATTGCTCTGGAAACAAGATGTTAACACTCAGATCAGGTCAACAAAATTATGGCTCGAAGATGAAGCGGCCAAGAATGGCTCGAAGATTTTAAAAGTTGTTCAGAACGGTACCGACAGTAACTGATTTGAGCGTTGTGGCGTCTGCCGGGTGGAGCTGCGCCCTTCCCATCTGGCTCCAAAGCCTGAAAATTGTGCTCAGGTGAAACACCTGGCAAGGATGGACGCTTCGAGATCGGAATCCGGTCTGTGAAGTTCGCCATCCATTTGGCCAAACACTACCCTCATTGCCATACTATACTAGATATGATAGACAAAAGGTTTCCTCGGTGTTTGTCTGCTGTTAACCTTTCTATCGTATGTCCGGACTGTAAACTCAAACAATGCCGTTATCAACCGACACCCACAAATGAAAACCTGGACTGCACACACCGCACCAACACACGGCAACACTAACCATACGTGCATATGTGGCAGCTAAGATAGGCTTTTTTGATGATTCATGGTCAACGATTGATGTTCATCACTTCTGTGAACACCTTCCCACCCACAACACTGAAAAGTCACCTGCAATGCTACTTGATGATCCGCTCTTGCCACTGGTCGGCACCTGGCTGTGTCAAGCTTGGCACAAAAATCTGATTGACATGCTTTTTGCCGACTTCTCCATAGGTGGTTCCTGCGGCCGCTCCGAACATCATTTGGTTTCTTCAGGTTCTGGTCTGGACGACTTGAACATAGACATCGCTGAGGAGACATCTGGATGGTCTGAAGTAAAGAATGAATGAATGAATGAATGCATGCTTTCTCATCAAAATGCAACAAGTCAGATCAACACGCCATGTCATCACTCGAAGCAACTCTTACCTGTCAGACTGCGCCCGGCGACACCCAAACACCGCACCTCGGCTGCCATGGGCTACGCGCACTTTGGCATGCTGCAGCCAACGATGAGCCGCACGCTTGTTGTTGATCACGATCATGTCACCACCTCGACGAAGCAAAACAACTCACTAACTTTCAGGAACCGAAAAAGGTTTTCATGGGGAACTGGTGATCTACGCACCGAGCGGCTCCGGAGGTTGAAGTCCTCCTTCCAGCGCTCCTCGTACGAAGCAAACAAGCCGAGCGTCCCGAGAGTGACGCACGAATCGCACGTGTGGAAACGGACGTTGAAAAAGAACATTTATCTTCAAGTACTGTTTATAGATCCTTCATGGTTCTTGTCATTTTTGCTTGACCCTTCTTCTTGAACCCAGAAGTATATCAGTGTAGTGATGTTGCCACCTCACACGGTGCAGTGGACCATGTGGATCTTCATGCCAGTCCGTCCAGCACTGCTCTTCTACGCTCCAGCAGGGTGAACTGTCACAGCCAAGACTCCGCCAATTGCCCTAGACCTCGTCTCCAAGAAACTCGCACTAACTCAAACGACTATCGGCTACCGACAATGTTGAAAAACACTGGCAATCGCAAATCCCGCTTCAAAACCCCAATGAAAAGTGAGGGAAGTGAGGGAAGTGAGTGATGCCGGCCAAGGAACGCTTGAAGGCATTCACGGCCTCCTCTTGCCCTTCGGCCTCGAAGCGTGGCATGTCCCGGAGGTCCAAAATCACCTGAGAGCGTCGTGGCGTCGTGCGTCGTGCGTCGTGCGTCGACATCTAGACAATCTGGGTCCTTCGCACGTCTCTTTTCACTCTGCTTCGCCGTCTGCTTGGCAGATGGTCTTTCGGACTCCTTTAATGACTGGTATGACGAGGAGCCTAGACGTTGATCTCTGACCCTGAAAGTCTCTTAGACTCCACAGTCTAAAAGGGGGTAGAAAAAAGAGCTTGTGGAGGCAAGAGATTGGGAAAACGGTACAGAAAGCATTCCTGTCAAAAGTTCGACAGTGCATTATTGGAGCCAAATGGGATGAGTCTTCGCAAGTTCACATGTTGCTTCAAAGGAATGTGAATAATCAATAAGACAGACGCAGAACTGTTAACGTTCAGAACTGCTGCGGGTAGCATCATTGCGGAGGTTTGGCCATGAGGATTGAGAGGATGACATTTACACATGGCCATGTGTACACATGTGGGATCAGTGAGCCACCAGCATGATAGACAATTCCATTTGATGTGTTTTAGGGCGTTCACTGTTCACATGTGTTTATTGGGTGTTGACTAGACTTCGTCACCCACAAGCAACTCTTAAACCTGACTAAGAGCAAGAGACTACCATGTCTGAGACTACGAAACTGCTGTGCCGTTCTGTTTTGGCGCATTCATGGGATGGAACCTATCTCGACCAGAACAAGTGCTGCATAAGATCCGTGTTGTTTCATTCCGCATAGTGTCTACTAGGAATGGCCTCCAACCTAAGAGCGATGGCCTTCAACCTACTAGACTCTTCGACTTCCATGTTCCAACAAGACACTGCCCGTCCAGCCATGGGCCGTTCGGTACCTCGCCATACCGCCGCACCCGCATGTGCTGATCGTGGTCGATGGTCCCCATGGGACTGGGCACCGAATTTTTCAACGCCACAGTGGGGACTGACGGCAACGCACACCGACGAAATGCGGAACCGCAAGATGTGCAAAGACAGGGCATGCGAGGTGCAGTTTCAAGGAAAGACTGAAACGATGTCCCAAAAGTTGAATTGTATTGAAACGTTTTTCTTGTTGGCCCTTTTCTCATTACCTCCCTTGGGGTGAAACAGAAATGTGTACAGTGGCTGTATTGTACACCATCGAAACAATTTCAAAAAATGCGCAAAAAAACTGTTTGATGTCTGTGCAACGCCTGAAATTAGAGTTTCAATGAACACCGAAGCACCATTGCATGCGTCCCATCACTTGCATATCGCGTTGATCGCGTTGTGCAAGGCTGGGAGACTTCTCAAGCAGATCGGACGCAATTGAAGAGACATTCTTTATGTCGACAGTCGCTTCAACCAGTTGTAGACAAGGATTCTGTAGTCACTGTCAGCGAAACAATTGTATTCCTTTGTACCATGTTTCGGGTCAACTCCGGAGCGCCTGAGGTAGATGTTTTGTCTTCGCTGCTTTCAAGCCATGAAAACTCCAAGCTACATCATCAAGGGTCCAAAGACAATAGCCACAGAGTGTCTAAAAGTTGTGACTCTAATAACCCCTAATTAGTAGCATCCTTGCTCCTAGTAGTAAGGCCAGGAGCCCCTAGTAGCTTCTTGTTACTACTAGTAAGGCACCTGTTACTACTAGCGTGGCACTTGCTCCTAGTAGCGTCCTTGCTTGAGAGTTGGTCGGTTTCCATATCGAGAAGTCCACATGCTCCAGAAGTCGCCGCAGGAGCCGTCGCGCACGCGCTGCAAGGAGATCGCTCTGAAAAAGGATAAATTATCATGTCAATTCTGTAAATGACAGTGAACAAGGACGAAATCCCCAAAAATGATCTCTTAAAGTTTGCACCACCTTCTTGACAAACTCCCTTTTCAGTGGTGCTTAAGTCTCCCGAAGAAATGTTAGCAAAACCGAATTGAAGAGTAGCTAGGGAAACTTCATTGATCCCGTTTTTGGTGTCCACATCACCCAGACTAAGATGGCTAAGTTGCCTTTCTTTAATGTTCACAAATGCCCACCCTAATTATTGTGCCTAGATTCTAGATCAAAGTTACTTGAGCCAACGCTGGGACCCGGTAGCCAAGGGCGAACTCCTTTGAAAAGCATGCGGTCGCACGAGCTACGCTGACCTTTGAAGTCAGAGTCATTCTTCTTTGGTTTCGCCTCAGACGTGTGCCCAAGTGGAGAGTCGAAGGCTTTTAGCCGCTAAAAGCCAACTCAAGAACCCTATGCGCGAAGATACCGTGCTTGGAGTCTTTTCATACACCGCTGACCAACCATGTTCAAACCTGAACCGTTTGGATTTTCTGAAGCTCTCGAAGCTGAAGGCTGAGACAAGACAATGTGCTTCCAACTGATCCCTTCGATACCCCCTTGCACATACAGAGAACCTGGCGGTGTTGGGTGTACGGAAGGATATTGATTGGTGGCATGTCAAGAAAGGGACAGTGAACCTGGAATAGAACTGGATGGGCCTGACTTGTGAATTTTTTGTCATCCCACTGACTGTGCTCAGGCGGTGCGAATGTCAGCATGCGCATTGGAATCAACATGTTTTTACAGCTGATGGCTGCTGAAAGCAGCTCGAAAGCCCATAAATGACCACCAACCCTGCAAGTGTCGCTGCGAACTTCGGGTATCTATGGTTTCCAACAAGTAACCCAACAGTCACTGCTGAGTTGCACTCCATCATTCAAAACAAGCCAAGATGGTGAAGTACCAAGCGAGAACACGAACTGGTTGTCTTGCGTCCTCTAATGCTCTATGTGGAATCTAGCGCTATTAGGTTGGAGGCCATTACTGTTTGAAGCGCCCTATCCACCCAGTGCCTTGAATCGCCGAGTGACCTTCCGTCACCTGCACATGGTGACGCTCGCGCTCCATCACAGTTCGGCTGACAAAAAGGATCTGCACCATGGGTGTTCAAGTGACGTGTGTTTGTGTCGAACAATTAGAGATGCAAGAAGAAGCTGTAGTGTCTTTCCTTGAATGTGTGGAAGTAGGCAACCATCACAACAGATCGCAAGATCAGAGAAAGCCAAGCATACGTGATTGCTTGTCTGGAAACTCCAGCGTGTTCACCAACAAGATCCCCGACCAAACCACGAAAACGAACAAACACAAAGGTCACATCACTCCCTCACGTTATTCAACCATTCCAAATCGTAAATTGGTTCTTTCAATTTGTCACGGGGAAAAAAGGATTCTAATAGCTTTTTGTTACTACTAGTAAGGCACCTGTTACTAGTAGCGATGCACTTGTTCCTATTTTCAATTCGTTTATGCTCTCGTTTTCGACTTCGCGCCTCCGAGCCCTTGGCCTCAGGCGCCTCTTCTACGTCAGGCGAAGAGGGCCGTTGCTCCTCGTGAAGCTCCTGGGAGCAACGGTGATCGCCATTTCGGGCTTTACCTATCTCCCTTTTCTTTTGTTACCACCAGCGATGGCCTCCAACCCAAAAGTGAGGGCCTGAAAAAAGGACTCCTTCGTATGTGTTTTCAAACACCGTGCAAAGCGTTGTCCCTATCTCCTTCTTTGGGGCCGCCTCGGCCATCTCACCTGCAGTGGCCAGTTGCTGGAAGGCAACAGAAGAAAGAATTGCACAGCAGCTCTTCCGTTGTGAATTCGGAAAAAGGATGTGTTTCTGCCTTTTTGCTGTAGCAGTACAAGGGGCGTCTAGTCTAGTCCAAGAAGAAAAGGAATTGTTTGAAGTTGTCCAACTCGTGGTCAACTGCATTTGTTCGCCAGGAATCCCCTCAGGTCACGCGCAACACTTGGTTGCATGAAGTGATTTAGATGCTGATTTGGAATGCTTGTGCAAAGGAATTGCGACATGACCGTCCCTAAAACAGGATGCACATATACAACACTTATATATTGAAGCGTTCATTGGCAATGCTTCATGGTTGGCCTAGCATGATTCGTTCATATTCATTCCCTCGAAAGCATCTTGGCCAGATGGATGACCCGGAGAAATCTCTTCGAACATCCGAGCAGCGTTGTCGCGACTCATCGGTTCGGTGGCCATTGTAGGCATCCTTGGCGGACGGGGCCAGATCGGTGGAGAAGGAGGACGAGGAAACTGTGGTTTTGATTGAAGAGTCTGTGGACAGTATGTGTTCACTTGTTGATGGATCAACAACTGTTTCGATTAACCATAGGTAAATCATGGTAAATCATGCACTTCGGGAGTGTGGATATGATGCGTTCACATCACGTGTATACTTAACAACGGAACACCTCCTGCCCAACCGGTCCAACACTGCCAACTTCCAACATGTCTAGTTCGAGAATGCATGTCACAGCTTGATGTCTAGATACATCCGCATCTAGCCATGCTGGGCATTTATCAAACTGCCTTAGCGCAGCCCACGGCGAATTTAGAAACAATATTCTATCCTGGCTTGCGGCGTGTACAACTGTGGAAATCTAGAGTTCAGCTTACTAAGTTTTCGAACTGACACGCGACACCTGAAATTTTCCTGGCAAGAGACCCGAACAGGGTTGAGTAGAAAAGGCCATGGCCCATAATTAATAAAAGAAATTTCCGCACTCTAGAGCACAGACATGAGAACACATATGAGCGGTTTTTCGGAGAGCACACATATGTGAGCAAATAATAGCAAATACATGAAAGCACACGAATGAGAGCACGGGCACGACAGATCACACACATGAGAGCATGCATATGTGAGCGAACAAAAGAAACACGTACATAAGGGCGCGCATATCATTAGAGCAGACACATGAGAGAACACCAAAGACAGCACACATATACTGGAACAAGCGCATGAGAGCACACAATGAGAGCACACTGGGTGGGAGGGAGCGCACATATGAATCATGCCCATGCCGCGAAGTCTGCACAAAGCGCTGCGCCTGCCACAATTCTGCGTTTGGAAATCTGCAGCTCGAGGTCCACAAACGGCTGCGCGTGCCATAAAACCTGCACTTCGAGGATCACAATGCGCTGCGTCTGCCAAGATAGCGCAGACATCAAGATTCCCGTCGCGCAGCTCTGCTAGTGGTGGTAGTGACTGCTAGCACGTCTCGCAACGGAAGTACTTCCAAAGACACGTTTCAAAAGTTTTCGCGCAATTAATCCCTACGAGCCAATCAGAAGACCACCGCCAAATCCAAAGCACTGTGCCTGCCACGAAATCTGCATTTCGAGGGTGACAAACTGCGGTGCTTGCCACGAAATCTGCAAATCAAAACGAAGCTGTCGCCGAACTTTTGAAATGAGCCACACGCCCAAAGTTCACGCGTGCCAAGGCCACGGCCAACTCCAAAGCGTTGAAGCGTTGCATTCTCTTGCGCCTGCCGTGAAAAGTGAACCGCCAAATCCGAAAATGCACACGGCACCACAAAGAGAGCACAGTCGAGGAAAGCACCCGCTCCAGCCCATCAACTTGTGGGCGTTTGCGCAGCAGAAATGCAATCTGATGATTTTGAGAGGCAACAGCGTACCCTAAATAGCAGCGAACTAGCCAGCCAGGCACGGATGAGGCCTTGAGTGTGTTACTTTTTAAACGTTTTGGAAGAGTCGGGGAGACATTATTTCTCCAAGCAATGTGGTCACACTAGGGCTTCTCACGGTAATAGTTAAGGACTGGGGAAATGCATGCTGAAATGAAATCCACTCGCCACACGGCGACCTACAGTAGGTAACCATATTCCTGAGAAAGGCATGTACGGGGGTCTGAGCATCTTGGAGGTCCAATCAAAGGAAGAAGAGGCCCAAAGTTCCAAGTTCAAAGTCGATGATCGCGATACGACAGGATGACGACGGTCCACGTGAGCGTGCGGAGCTTGTTAGCACTTTACAGCACCTGAAGAACTTAGAAGCAGCGTGAGCGAGGGCGAACCATTCAAAGCAGGTACGTCGGCGAGCGTCCCCATCGATATCAGTGTTCAATGCAAGCCTCTTCGTTTGGCTGGTACTTGCATGAACAACCAGCCCCCCTGCTTGCATTAACTTTTCTAAATCAACGGATTCCCTATGATTCCAAGCGTTACACACTTATGATTTTGCGTGCTGAGTTGAAAGCGGTGCCACACGCCAGCCTAAGTGAAAAACCCAAGAAACCAAGGTGAGTAAAGGGAAAGCTCCACCGATCTCCAAAGCTGAAAGTTCTGAAGTCACGGTCTCCAAAGCTCAACGACGGTGAGGTCAGCACTAGACAATTACTGCAAAACACAGAATTGGAACAGCTTGTCCATTACGTAGGTTTCCTTCCAAGCAGGTACGTCAATCCGGCGTCCCGGATTGATTTCACAGATGCAACACTGGCGTCTTCGTTGGTGCCAGTCCAGTGTGCATCCCTGGCACCCCCTGCTAAAACAATTCAAAAGAATCCCTGTGACTACAAGGGACACACACACACACACATCCACTGGCCGGCCAGACCTTTTCGAGTGCACGATCAAGTCCGGTCCGAGTGGCGCTATAGATGTCGGGCGCCTCGGTGTGCTTGGGCACCGTGAGGCCTGGGAGAACAGAAGCACGCAAGGCGACGCAAGGCGACGCAAGGCGACGCAAGGCGACGCAAGGCGACACAAGGCGCCGGAATAAGGCAAAAGCCAAGAGAATCATAGAGAAAAACGTAGAGAAAATAAAAAGAGCGGCCATCCAATTCGTTTGTCACACTTCGACTGTCAAAACTGCAAGCTCGACTACCCCTCACCCCTGCGTCCAAGAGGCTGGGATCCTTGAAGGGCACAATTTCCAGCAAGGCTCTGGCCGCTGCGATGGCCGCGGCCTGGGGCAAAACTGCAAAAGGTATCAGTGGGATCGTGGAGGATAAGCCACAGATGTTTTTGAAGCCCACCCTTATTTAATTGAGCAGGTACCTACTTAATTAAGGGAGAAGTTCGCTCCTAGATATTGAAGATACTGGATGCAGGGTAGCTCACGCTTCTTCAAGGAAGCTGCTCCTGCCTGAGGGTGGGGGGAGCTTCCTTGAAGAAGCGCTTGCACCAATGATCTGGTTCCGAGATTTTTGCGGAAACTACACATCTCATCTTCCCTAACACTATCTAACACTAGTGCCCACTCGTGATGCCCCTCTGATGAAAGCTCTCTACACTATTCTTGATGACTTGAGGAGACCAAGGGTCTTCCATGAAGGAAGAGAGAATATGTGAGAATTGTGATTATGAGATTATGATATGAAGGCCATCGCTTCTAGGGTGGAGGCCATCGCTCTATCACTACTAGGGTGGAGGCCATCGCAGTGAAGATGTCAACTTGATAAGGGCTCAACAAGAGCCACCTCTTCAAGTCACTTTTCTCTTTACGTGTCTCAAATGTGTGCTCTACCAGTAAGAAGACTGGCCCTTGTTGGCGAGAACTGGCACCCGCTGAATCCCATCACACGCCAAAGTACATCCATTGCCGCTTTGGTGTCGCCCTTGTTGGTCTCTTCTCGGAGCTTCACCTGCTCAACGCGCGGTCAGCGATGGCCTCCACCCTAGTAGCAAGCATTGCTCCTAGTAGCTTTTTTGCTACTAGTAGTAAGGCACTTGTTGCTAGAAGCGATGCACTTGTTACTAGTAGCGTTCTTGCTCCTAGTAGTAATGCCAGGAGCCGCTAGTAGCGTCCTTGCTCCTAGTAGCGATGCCCTAGTAGTGAATGAAAAAGTTTGTTGCGATGTGCACGGCGACGGAAAGGATTCATCTGGGTGTCCTGTATTCTCCTCAAGCACCTCAAGGCGGGCACCCTGTTCATTTCCTTCTAGGTTGAAGGCCATCGCTAGTAATGTTATCATTTCCTCAGTTTGCAATGCTGGCCTCGAGTCGCTTAGACTCCTGGTTCTGCTCCGACAACATCCTGAGTAGTCCGACCGATGCTTTGGAGCTGGGGCAATACGACGTCTCAGGATGCCTTTTCCGCAGCTAAAACTTGATTTGTTCGTTTTGCAAGGACGCTACTAGGAGCAAAGGGCATCGCTACTAGGACGCTACTAGGGGCTCCTGGCCATACTACTAGTAACAAGAAGCTATTAGAAACAAGAATTCAATAGAATTACAATTAAGTAGAGTCCTTTCTACACCCAAAATTTGGACCAAGCTGTAGAGCAAACGCAAACTTTGCCAGACAAGTAGGGCCGGGAGCAACAGGACCATGTCTTTACGTCAAATGTGTTCACTGCCAGGTACAGAGACGCACCAGTATCGTCACCACTTGTCAGATCTAAGTGCTAGTGGACTCTCTTTTTAGTCAAGACTCTCTTCAGCTTTCTGGAGGGCCTGGTGAACAACAAATCAACTCATGTGAAGCTTCATCAGTATTGCTCGGTTTGTTCTTGGGAACAATCTTCTCCTTTGGATTCTGTCGGGAGGTGGCTTGTTTGACGAAAACCCATCAACAAGCACCTTCCCATCTTTGACATTGGCGCAGATTGCATGAACTAAAATTACAATTACATAATTGTATAAGTTATAAGTTCTTTCTGGGTAGAATCTTGCATTTATCTGATAGGTCCCAGCACACAGCAGAGTGATCCTTCGAATCTCAGCAACCCCCTGATCTATCGGGAATGGACAACCAGAACCGGCATCAGATTTGCGAAAATATTCCTTGCAAACATCATCATGCATTCAAACATGTTTCGAGCTTCGTGTCACACGAACCCCCCGCAGACTTCGCTGGAAAGTGGTAGTTGAAATGAGTGTGTGCTACTAGTGACAAACGTCATGAAAAGGAGCGCATGCGGCGCATGAGTTGAAACCATGAAGCAAACCAAAAATCACAGAAGCTTGTCCAAGGCTTCTTTGGCAATGTGGTTGCAGGTCAAAACTTGTGCTTCAACAAGCATCAAAAACTACTTATGTACATAACTGGAACACTCCAGTGGATGTTGAACTACACGCCCATACTGGTCCGTATTCGCCCACCCTCGCGAAGGAGACAAATCGTTTGTTCCTTCACAGAGAGCGAAGCAAAGCGTATGGTGTATGGCTCTTTCCGTGCCTCTTTAGCCTTTGTGCTGCGCTCCTGCGTGGAGATGGTGGGGTCTTTAGTGCATTAAATTCCGGATCATGGCAGAGTCGTCACTGTGGGTACACAACCTCCAAAAACAAATGTCAAGCAAAGATTGGATGTCTTCACCGAAAGAACAGCCGTTGTCAAGAATGACCCCACAAAGTTTGCGGCAGAAAAAACTGTTTCTACATGGAAGTAGCACATGCACTATCCCCAGCAAAAAAAATCTCCATTCCTGCTGCCCGTGTTCAGGCTGCTCATGGTCCTTTACTGTGGAGTTTCGGGAAGAGAAAATTGAGTCGTCCATCCAAATCAAGCTCGTCCAGCCCCATATCTCCATGAAGAGCTACAGAGTCGCACACAATGAACACCCACAGACCCTTTACACTTTTAGACATCTTTAGACTTTGTCAAGAAAACGCTCCCGCTCTGCCACTCTGCTCCTCTGAGTTCAAGAGCTCCTGATTCGTGGTGCGTTCGATCTGCTCTGCCTGCGTCAAGGCCGTCAAGGCCAACGAGGCCAAGACGTTTGTGTTGCGATGGTCTTTGTGCCGAACTGTGTCCATTCCGGTATTTCTCGAACGAAGCAAAGGGTTCTTGATTAACTTTGGGAGTCTGAGGGTAGGGCGTTGTTCGCGTGACGTTGCGTTCATTTTCGGTACCGTTCGCAGCCATCCGCGAGCAGCTGAATGTGATCTATAAGGCCGTGACAGTGGGGGAATCTTTTGGAGGAGGTTTGGATGGAAGCATGAAGTGGCAGATTCGTGTGAAATAGCGTCGAAACTTGACATGTTGAAGTGTGGGGAATGATTTTGCTGCGCAGGTGCAGCGTTTTGTGAGATCCTCAGTTCAGTTTCCTTCACTTGACTTCTGGAGGAAGTCTCGAGTGTCCCGCAAGAGCGTCTCACAAGAGTGAGTGTGCCACAAGAGTGTCAACGTTGGTTTTTGAGTGCATGTGTTTGCATTCGGGTTCGTGAGCTGCATCCTGTTTGTTCCTTTTGTTTGACCTTGGACATTGTGTCTGCCCATGTCTAGCTGGGCTGGAACATGTCATCCCCCGACCTATGGCGATGACTTGCGGTCTCTTGAGTTTAGGATTTGGGTTTAGGGTTTTAGGGTTTACTTGTTCCTAGTAGCTTCTTGTTTCTAATAGCAAACATTGTTACTACTAGTAAGGCACTTGTTACTAGTAGCGATGCACTTGTTCCTAGTAGCTTCTTGTTCCAATGATGTTTCATATGTTTCATGTGATTCATGGTGATCCGTACTCCATCCCTGGTCTACCAACTGGTCTACCTGGTCCACCTCAGCTTCTATCCAAACCACTGTCGCCGTGGAGCTCGCTCGCGAACCTCCATGGCAAAGGTCTGAAAAGTTCGCCTCACGAAGATCGAGCTGATAGTAGGAAAGTGTCCGAGCTTGAGCGAGAGCCTAATAACAGCAAAGGCCTCGACCCTACTAGCGATGGCCTCCAACTTACTAGCAATGGCCTCCAACCTACTAGCGATGGCCTCCAACCTACTAGCGATGGCCTCCAACCTAATAGCGATGGCCTCAAACCCAAGAGCCTCCACCCTACTAGTGATGCCCTCGAACCCAATAGCAATGGCCTCCAACCTACTAGCAATGCCCTCCAACCTAAGAGCGATGGCCTCCACCCTACTACGGAGGGCCTGCACCCTACTAGCGATGGCCTCCACCCTAGTAGCAATGGCCTCCAACCCAAGAGCAATCGCCTCCACCCTACTAGCGATGGCCTCCAACCTAATAGCGATGGCCTCCAACCCAAGAGCGATGGCCTCCACCCTACTGGCGATGGCCTCAAACCCAAAAGCAATGGCCTCCAACCTACTAGCGATGCCCTCCAACCTAAGAGCGATGGCCTCCACCCTACTAGCAATGCCCTCCAACCCAAGAGCGATGGCCTCCACCCTACTAGCAATGCCCTCCAACCCAAGAGCGATGGCCTCCACCCTGCTAGCAATGCCTTCCAACCTAAGAGCGATGGCCGTCCACCCTAGTAGCGATGGGCCCCAACCTATATAATAGCAATGCCCTCCAACCTAAGAGCGATGGCCTCCAACCTAAGAGCGATGCCCTCCACCCTACTAGCAATGCCCTCCAACCTAAGAGCGATGGCCTCCACCCTAGTAGCAATGCCCTCCAACCGAAGAGCAATGGCCTCCACTCTACTAGCAATGCCCTCAAACCTAAGAGCGATGGCCTCCACCCTACTAGCAATGCCCTCCAACTTAAGAGCAATGGCCTCCACTCTACTAGCAATGCCCTCCAACTTAAGAGCAATGGCCTCCACTCTACTAGCAATGCCCTCCAACCTAAGAGCGATGGCCTCCACCCTACTAGCAATGCCCTCCAACCTAAGA